CTACCAACAATTTCATATAGAAGCAAAAAATACCATGTGCAGGTACAAATGTCCTTTGATGAACGTTATCATTATATATATATAGTGCTAGTAAAATTTCTCAATACATAATTGAAAACCAGTCTTCTAGAATATTGTTCTTTATTGCTTTGACAATAGAAAATGGTAATCATTTCACCACTTTTCCTCCTAAAGTTTTGGTGAATTTAACAGATTGTCTGTCTAGATCAGTAATGATGGGAATAGGAAATTCGGACAAGAGATCACTTCTTAGGCTTACTGCCAGATTTTGAAAATCACTATAATAAGTCCTTTCTGCCAAGTAAGTGAAATCTGAATGCTGGCTACAACATTTGGGGAGAAAAATAGAACGAAGCCCATGCTGACTAATAGGTGCTAATGTGCGAATAATAATTAGTGCAATTAAGTGGCTGCTGCTGTGTGGGTAAAACTTTTCAGAGGGCAAAACATTAATGTAGGGGTTTACATACACATAAACAAAGCTTTAAAATGGGCTAATAAAAGACACAATATATGGAAGTATTTAAGGGACAATATACAAATATGGAATGTTCATTTTGGGTTTGCTAGCATTAGGCACAGGAATCCTGTGAATGTAAATCATTATCACAGTCTTATGAGGATGTGTATGCGATTTTTACAAACCTGTATTAGCAAACTAAGTTTTGAAATATGAGTGAAATAGCACTAAACTAATATACATGAAGTTAGAAAAATTGTTTCTAGCTTTCATTCAAATTATCCATGTCTACTTTTGGCCCTCACTCCATATGGCCACCCTTCTCCTGTAAATCTGGCTGTGTCAGTCCTCTCCCTCTCCCTCTCCCTCTCCCTCTCCCTCTCCTTCTCCTTCTCCCTCTCTCTCTTCTTTTCTTCTCCTCTCCTCTTCCAACAGTTTTCTTGAATATGTAGAACTAGTTTTCTTGGCAAAGAATAGAGAATTATAGCTGAGACCACCAGGAGCTTAGTTCATGTAACATGGAGCATAAATTATTATTATGTCTTAGAAACACTGCTGAGTCGAGGTTAGGGTCAAGGCAATGCAGAGGACAGCGTATAATTTACTAGCTAGAACCTTTCACAGATGATGGGGAGAGGATGGAAATCTTTCCATCAGAAATCCATACTCATTTAGCTTTCATAAACAAATGCTTGTGAAAGTATTAAAAATGTTGTACTGTGAGCTTCATTAAGGAACATCAAATTATCCACTTCCTTTGTTCACCTTTGAAAAAATATATTTAGTAGCAGGTGATTAGGCATTGTTGTGTTTATTCACCAAGAATAAGGTCTTCTAAATCAGCATGTCCTAATGTGCTGTCCTTTGCATATGAAGGTAACACTATTGATTCATGATCAGTGGCCAAGCGTTTAATTTCTTCTTTCTTTTGAGGGATTAAAGTATTGATGACAAGTAGATCATCATCCTCAGTTTAACACATCTAATGTGTGCCTAAGAAATACCTTCAATCTAATAAATATTTGGCTGTAGCTAAATAAGTAGGTCCTGATTATGAAGCAGAGTAAATATAGTTGTTTTAATAAGTTGTTTTCTTTACAAAGTGCCCTGGACAGCTTTAAAATAGTTTGAATACTCTCAGTTTCAAAACGTGTTCAATCGATGGCCCCACTCACCTACACTTCGTTGCACTACAGCTAGAGAGTTCCTACTTTTGGAATGAAAAGAAGAGGAAGGAGATGGATTTGGGGGAAAGTGAGAGAAAGAGAAAAAGGGCCAAAGACAAAGACAGAGAGACTACTGGGAAAGAATCTAGAAGATATTAAAATCGAACCTTTCATGGTGACATTGATTCAGGCTTGCAAGCATGATCAGTAAAAATAAGAGTCTGAGCTCTACTAATCTGACCTGTGAGCGCATGGCGTCAGGAAGAGCCACACATGCCAGCGCACAGCTCCTCCTCCTGCACGGTGCATCCGGCCTTACACCCTCCTTCTCACAGACGTTCTTTCATCACTGCTGTCTGCAAAAGGGATTTAAAGGGAAATTAAATGAGGCTGGCTAGTGGGAAGTAAGATAAATAGAAACTATCTATGACATCAATCATATTTTTATGAAAAAAGCCAAGTGCACACATAGAAAGGATATTCAGTGTGTGCTTCAGGGCGAGGCAGGAGGGAGGTAACTAGAGGGGCCAAGGAGAAGCTTCCCAGAGCATCCTCTTCTGTTCACCCCTGAACGTCACAGCTCTCCTCTCTCCTGACTTGTTCCCTTTCTCTGTGAACATGCCCATTCCCCCCCACACCAGAAGAAAGCCAGTGCTTCTCTCTAACAGGTAGCCAGTCCTTTCCTCCCCCGCAGCTGGCTTTCTGCTTGGCACAGGTCTGCCAGCTCCGCCATCGCCCCCCGGGCACCGCCTTTGCTGTCACTGTTCAACTCCCACTTTATGTTTCTAAAGTGCTCTGTCCCCAGGAATTCCTTTGCCCATCACACTGCAGCTTGTTGTCTTTGTTATGATTCCAAATCCTTTCTTCTGCTCACATTAAAATTTAAAACCTGATGCTTTTGCCTTGCCTGCTTTATCTTTCCTCTGTCCACAGGGTCCATCACGGAGTGGGGGGCGCGGGGGGCATCTTGTTCATTTTCTGGGTCTAACTCCCACTTGTACACTTATACCTTCCTAGTACAAGTCTGTATCTTCTTTGCTCTCTTGTCGGTGTCGCTCCCGGCCGGCAGGAACAGCATGCAACAATATCTGGTGGTGGTCAGGCTTTTCTTTATTCTCTCCTTATACAGTCTGCCCCGAAGCCTCTACCGGTCCGCTCTCCGCGGCTCCTTCCGTGCTTCTTCTCTACAGTCTGTCCCGAAGCCTCTACTGGTCCGCTCTCCGTGGCTCCTTCCATGCTTCTTCTCTACAGTCTGTCCCGAAGCCTCTACCGGTCCGCTCTCCGCGGCTCCTTCCGTGCTTCTTCTCTACAGTCTGTCCCGAAGCCTCTACTGGTCCGCTCTCCGTGGCTCCTTCCATGCTTCTTCTCTACAGTCTGTCCCGAAGCCTCTACCGGTCCGCTCCCCGCGGCTCCTTCCGTGCTTCTTCTCTACAGTCTGTCCCGAAGCCTCTACCGGTCTGCTCTCCGCGGCTCCTTCCATGCTTCTTCTCTACAGTCTGTCCCGAAGCCTCTACCGGTCCGCTCTCCGCGGCTCCTTCCGTGCTTCTTCTCTCGTGGCGGGAGAGGCACTCACTTTTATAGGGTTACAGTGGCCAATCAGTTCAAAGCGCGCGATGCGGGCTGATTGGCTAACATCAGTTGTTGCTAGGCAGACTATCTTACAGGGCGGGTTGTTTACCAAGCAGGAAGCAGGAGATAAGCGCCATCTTAGCACACTCGATGGGAGGGGTAATCTAGCTCAGGCTTTGCTCTTTCTTACAGGCCTCACGTCCACCAAGTAAGGCGACCGGGCTCGGCCGCGGCTCCCAACACTCTCTTCTGAGTTTTACTATTAAATATGTAAATACTATGTAAAATCTCTACTTGGTTGTGCCAGAGACACTTCTACATTTCTGGTATGATCCAAAATCTGTCCTCTCAACCTCCGTCCTCAGCCTGCCTTATCCACGTGGAAACCTGTAGCCCTTCATAATGCTTCTGACTCGGAACGTAGGAGGTGCTTTGAAATTCCCTCTCTCTTCTCATTCCCTTCCCTTCCCTTCCCTTCCCTTCCCTTCCCTTCCCTTCCCTTCCCATTTCTTCCCTTTTTCTCTTCTTTATTTTTAACTTGCTTTTTCTTCCTTTTTTTTCTTTCCTATTTTACATTCTTCCTCCTCTCTCCTCACCTTGTTTCTCGCCCTCTTTTTCTCTCAGTCTCTCCCTCTCTCTCCTTTCTTCCCTTGTGGATCTCAGAAACTCATCATTTATCATCTATTTGTCTTTGGCCCAACTAATTTATAGACCAAACAAAATTTACCCTATGTCATAGCAGCTAAGTTGGAGGCCAAATTTAACAAGATCAAGCTTTCTTCGTAGTTGTTTTTGGTTTTTTTTTTTCCCTGTTCTTCAGTATTAGGAGTGGGAACCCAGTGCCTTAGCACTTGGCTGCCTCCCCAAGTAGGAATTCTCCAGACAAGGTCTGTCTGAGTTCCTAATTTGCCCAGGCTGGTATCTAACTTGCTGCACTCCTGACAAAGCTCCCCAGAATGCTGCCTAACATCACACTTGGCTAGACTTAAGACTGTGACCCCTGTTTTGCTTGTTGCTTCTTATCCTAAGTTTTTGTAAAGGATTTGATATTGCAATTAAATAATCATATACATTTTCATATTTTCTAAATTAAATATTTTAATTTCAATCAATTAAACTTGCCATCTCTTTCCTTTACCTACCGCTGCTCTTTAGAGTGAACGGTACTAGTTAGACAGTAATCAGCTCCAGCTCACAGTGATCTTCCTACATTAGCCTTCTGAGTGCTGGGATTACAGGCTGGCACCACAACACTGGGCTAGTGTTTCAAAGCTCTTGGGAAGAGGTGGGTGGGTTGAGAATACATTTGTCTTTGTTCATAGGATACATTCATGTAGTTAGCAAATCACTCATGTAAGGAGCTAAATTAATACTACCCATCCACACAAGCAAGGGTGAGTTCTAAGAATATTCAGTCCCACTCTGCCAACTCACTCAGCCTAGTAAAAGTAGCTGATGCAGAGCTCAAGACAAGAAACAACCTTTTCCTGTGGCTTCCAAAGCAGATGTATATGAATATTATAGGACAAACTAGACTAAAAATTCACGGGGACTGAAACAAGCCTGCACAAGAGACCTTCCAGTCATCCAACATGCTCAAGTATAAATGAAAGGCTCATCTCTCACTGTGCTAGAGTCAAAATGGAAGTTCTCTCCTAACAGGAATGTGCTAGACCATATAGCAAATGTAATCATAAATCCTTATAAATTTACCATGTTTTTCTCCCATTCTTTTTTTGTTTGTTTGTTTGTTTGTTTGTTTTTGAGAAGAATGATATGAAATGGAATTTTTCAAATATTTATATTTCAGGGGAAATCTTGTGATAGAGCTATGTGTAGAAGAACTACACATAGTTTTTGACATCCCAGCATATGGATCATACATCGTACTGTCTCTGACTGATACTGTCATTTCCAGGGGAAACAGCGTGCAACATTTTGACCAGTAAAGGAATGGCATGAGGAAATAAGTGTTTGATGAAACTTCTGCATGCATTAACTGATGTCAGTGTATGTAACATGAAAGGGGTTTGACTATCTATTTAAATTACTTACAACATTTGAGCTGCTCTGTCTGTGTTTTGACTTGTTTTTTCTTTCCCAGAAGAGAACAACCTCGCTACAGCTAACTTCCCTCTATTTGTAGACACAGCAACTGAAGCACATCCTAGCCCCAGATGATGGTGAGAAATTCAAAACCACTTGTTTTGATTCTGAAGTCCTGATTGTGTTTACTATGGCAAAATGATAAAATTTATAATTACTCATGAAGATTCATAAAAGGTTTTTCTACCTCAAATCAAAGGTCAATATCATTCCATGATCAAATGATACTACAATATAAAAGAACTTAAGTGACTTAAAAAATACCCTGCTTTGTGTAAAGTGAAGCTAGCTCATAGATATTATTGGTACCTGCTGAAGAATACCATATGTTCTCTTACTATTTCATTAATGCAAATTTCAAGACTTGTGCTGCTTAAAACTTAGCAATTTTTTACTAAACACTTTAGTGAGAATCACATTTTCAAATTTGTTTGTAAATCTTCGAAAGTATCAATATGTCAAGGCAGTCTATTCTTCAAACTTTGCCCTTGAAAGGTGATATTAGGCCTTTTGAAAGCAGCTAAAGGAACCAAAGTAATCATGAATGAGAAAATGAGTCTCTGGAATAATAATTAAAACAGCAACCAACTGAAAGATCGTGACTAAACAAGGCGTGACAGGTAGTGGAAATCAGAAACTGAAATTAATCAAAATATGAAATAAGTTCCAAAATTTAAAGCACCCTACAGAAACCTCAAAGGTATGAATATGGTACATTTGACATATATTTCCCCTTAGAGGCAGTCAATTCACAAATATTAATGTAAGACTAAGACAAAGGATTTCTTACATCTAAATAAAAACAAACTAATAAGTAAACATTATGAAAAATTTATCTTAGCATTATATGAAGTAAAACTTAAAATTTAATTTCTATGTAGACTACAGAAACTCATTTTGGGGAAAGACTGAAATGTAAGTATACTTTAGTATTGAATAGAAAAATTTCAAGTATGAATAATATAGGAAAACAGTAAAATGATACAGTATTTTGACCTTTACAGGATTTTGAACATTAACAAATATTTCACTAACATTTTTAATAAGAACAAGATTTGCAGACATGAAGTTGATCATTTAGCTTTAAGCAAAGTGAGTAAGGACTGTGTGTGGAATGGAAATAGGAACCGTCTTGTCCCCGAGGGAGACGGTGATGAAAATATGTGACAGCTACAGGCGTAGGCAAAAGGAAACCCAAAGCAAAACTGAATTTAACAGAATAGAAGTAGCCTCAAAACACGCATGGTCTTTAAAAGTAAGGAAAATCTACCTTATACCGCTACTTGATTTCCCTATTGAGGTTTATTGATTAAAACAAAGGAAAATAAATTGAAAGGATATTTTTTTTCATAAACTCAAATGAGTGCATTCCCAAATTTTTAGGTCATTGTAAATACTATGAGTTCACATCAAAAAAGATAAATGATATTACATAGAAAGCATGATTGCTAAAAAAAAAATGAAGCTTAAATGAAAAGTTTAAATTTTTTCACTGGAGTCACTCACATTTCACACCAGTAACAGTTGTACTAATGAAATTCGTAATAGTTTATATTATGATAACTGGCAATATGATTTTTCATCAATGAAAACATCAACTATAAAATTTTTCCCTTTGTGTCATGAGATTAAGATTCTTTTGAACATCCAGATCTCAACATAATCAAGAATTTTGGCCATGTAAATGCTTTGTTAGCCACACTGATGATTACTAAGGTCAGAATGACCACATCACAAGTCTAGGTGAGTGCGAATATTATGGAAAGAATATTATTATAGAAAGGACTTGATTTTTCCCGATTCTTTAAGATATTACCAATACTTTGTAGAGGGACATATACACAGAGATAATAGTCAGAAACAAGCAAATGCCAACAACTAGGAAAAATTTGTGTTATCAACCATAAATTATTTTTCAAAAGTGGACAAGAAGGAAGAAAATGTTATTCCTCACAGTACAGTGCATGCTGTTGCTAGTGAGTTGCTAATGACTGTCACAGAGGTCAGAAAGTACAGAAAGAAAAATGCACAGTAAATGGGAGTCAAGAGTAGAAAACGGCGGAAGGAGGTGACGCAGGCAGCCCCACTGAAACCCAGTGAGGCATCTCCCACATCTAATTCTAAGAGCACTGTAGTATTTCTTTCTAATTGTCAAAGACATTTGGGCCTCTAGATCTCATAACGGTGGACGGGAATGAATGGATTTAGGCTTTGGCTACAGTAGTCATGATAAAGTTCAAGTGTTGCATTTATTCCAAGAACCTCACCCAACTTTTTTCTTACTGCTGCACTGCAGAAATTGGAATTAAACCCAGAATCTCGTCACATCGAGCTACATCCCCAGTCCTTTCTTAATTATGAAAGAGCACTTCAATAAGTTGCTAAACTGCCAAGTCCAGGCTTGATTTATATGCACCATCACATTCACCTCACCTATCCATTTGAAGAACTTTGCATGTATTTTCTGGAGGTAAATTACATAGTCTTGTTCACTTTCACTTACTCAGAAGTCCCAGGATATTTTCTCCTAATAAAAAATTACTAATCATTTCAAAACAATTATATTGTATTCTAGATTTAGTACTGATGACACTGACTTAATTCTTACTGTCTGAAAATTGTAATAGTACTACTTGCACTCAAAATTATCACCATCCTTCTTGTTATGGTTTATATCTATCTAGGTGATCCTACAGTCCTTCTGTCACTCATGTCTAACTTTCTATTTGTGAAATCACCTATGATTTCTTATATTTGGGAATATTATGTTATGCTCTACCAACCAACATTTTTGATTATAACTTGTTATCCATCTATATTCACTACAATGCTGATGAAACTTTTATGATAGAAGTTATAATACCGTTTGAATGTCTACTTTGTATGCTTTGATACTGTGACTTGAGCAGCTATCTCTAAGATGATAATGCGTAATCTATTAACTGGTGATCTCTTACTTTTTTTTTTTTTTTTGTAGTTCTGTATTACTTGTATCCTTACACTGCTTTGTTTTGTTTTGTTTTTTCTCTTTTTCCTTTTAAATAAAATTTTAAAAAAGAAGTTATAATACCAAACAAATTCAAGTCTTTAGGATTCTGATGATTTTCTGATTTATTAACGAATATCTAGAAATTGATAATTGTTTTCCATATTTAGAAGTAATATGGCCAAAAATTCAATAATGTGTAGTTTTGTCTCATTTCATCAAAAGTATTATTATTGTGTCATATGACTGGAATTATTAGAATATTGTAAAGTAATATTTTTAATATTAACCTAATAATTCTGTTAACAGGAATCTCTTACCAAAAATACTATGAAATAATACAAAATAATTTCTCAGCACTTAATTGCCATAATATAAAATATTCATACTCATTTGAATGAGCTCTAAATTAATTTTTTAATAATGTATCATTTATAATTCCACAAACACTTGTAAAGGATTAAGTCTTAAATCTCATGAATTCTAAATTTTTTTTTATTTTTTGCTAGATTTAAAAACACCCAGGTCTCCCAATATTCTAAACACAAATACAGCTTGTTTTAGAAACAAGAAGAAGAAAAAGAAGAAGAAGAAGAAGAAGAAGAAGAAGAAGAAGAAGAAGAAGAAGAAGAAGAGGAAGAGGAAGAGGAAGAGGAAGAGGAAGAGGAAGAGGAAGGAAAGCTTCAGGTTCTTTTGGAGGTGGGGTGGAAATTCATTAATGGGGAAGGAATAGTTGACTATTTAGAGGTGCAACAAAATGCACAGCTAAATTACATATAACTGTCTGAAGCTGGCTTACTACTGTAAACACTCTTGAGTTTTCACAGTTTCTCTTATGAGTTGTGACAAGATGACAACAAAACTACTGCCTTAATTACATGAAGATTGGAAGGTATGTAACAACCCCTCAAGATGACTGAAGGAATTTCACATGCAGTACAAACTCAAGACTAGCATTTAAATATATCCAGATAAAAAAATTTAAAGCTACATGGAGACTACAATTTTGATATCCTTCTCTGTTCTTCGATATATGCTACTGTTTAAGTTTTGAACCAGAATCCTGTTAACTCTTTTTAGCAAAATGGAAATATATTTTCTGAAAGTTGGTTACATCCCTTGTTGGAAATCTTTGTTTTCTTCACAAATTATTGAACACCATAGTCATTGATGATATAAATGATATCATTTTGCTAAGATTTTTTTCAACCAATAACGTTATTTTCATTCCTTATTGGGTGAGACCTCACACATGACTAAACTTATGCTCGTCAGTTTCCAGCACTCCATCCTTCACTGTTTCAAGGTGCCATTTCTGATCATGGTAGCTCTTCACTTATAAAGCAGGTAAAGGAATAAATACACATCATTCTTCACAGTACAGTAGTTCTTTGACTTCCAGAATCTTCTGGACTTGGCCACTGCCCAGTTGTGCTATTTTAAAGACCAGCGACCTTCTGACTGCTGCATGGAGAACTGCCTCACAATTCCTCATCTGTGACACGTGGTTGGAAGCTGCTCAGATAAGAAACCTTGCGATGTTCTTATTGTTTCCTTTATTCATTTATTTCCTTTTCATCTCTTCAGTTCCCTGCACAGCAACAATTTAGAAATCTGGCTGCTGCCATTCACTCTTGGAAGAGCAACAGCCTATGAGAGCTGTGCTGCTCTGAGCAGCAGGGCTTCTTTCTGTACCAGGAGGTGGGCTTAGGTTTGAGTAGTCCTGTCTTGCCAGTTAGTGTAAATGGCTTGTATTTGGGCCAGTGAAATGGAGGAGACCATTTCTGATGAAAGATTAGACTGTAATGAAGGCAAGAATCAAACAGGGCAGTGAAACACATCCCTAGCTCATGACTGGATCATCCATCATCACTGAATGCCCCAGGGATCTGGATATTCATCACCATTAGTGAACAACGCTAAAATCACAAAACACATATCCCCAAAGAAAGTGGGTCATTAGTGTGTTCTCTGAAGTCAAAAGATTTCATCTCTAACTCTTTCTCATGTTAAAAATAAACCCAGGCATAATAAAGTTTTAAGGAGTTTATTTGCATAAACAGCCATTCATGAATCAGGCAGCCTCAATTCAAAGGTCTTTTAGGAATTTATTGAGGAAACACAAGGGAAAGGCTTTTGTAAAGTGAGAAGGAAAAGAAAGGGAAGGGAAGGGAAGAGGAAGAAAAGGCAAGAAACATTTTACTTGCTTCATTATTACCTTATTTGGTCTATCTTACTAGAATATTCCTAGGTATATTGTTTGCTACATTTGATTGTCGTGTTTTTAAAAATATAGGTATTTACAAGAAATAACTCAGATTAATTTTACCTGTGTTTTCAAAAGAAGCACATTCAAAATTGCTTCCATGGTTTGCTCACCTTTTCCAGCTCAAAGAATTCTCAACTATAGTATTTATTTTAATTTAGCTAAATAATTACCCTTTTTTGACATTTTATTGACTGAACTTAGGGGGTCGTCAACTATTTTATGTTACTCTCAGCCACCCCATGTTGGCTTTTGTTTTTGTGGTCATCAGAAGGTGGCACAGCCAGATTTCAGAACAATTTGAGTGTATGTAGTTTTCTGCAGCCTGTTCTGCATGGAGATCATCTGATGAGTTAGCGACTGCTGGAAAGCATTTAACATTCTTAAGAGATTAGAACACAGAGAAGACATTATCAATATGACTACTATGAGAATGATATCCAAAAGTCTGGAAAATACCACAAAGCAGAGGTGTGCTGGAGCCAAGATTTAATGAACTAAATAAATCATTGGAAGAAGCATTACATTACTGATGAAAAATTTCCATTCTTTAAAATCTTTTACATTTTGACTAACAATCCCTTCTGCTATGTCTATTACTTTCTCCTGTGTACTGTGTTTCTGAATCTTCAACATGCTCAGGTTGTCTCAGTTTCCATTCAGATATGGTATAAGTGGTATCTAAAAATATTAAGTGTAATAAAAATAACTAACTTTTACTATCTACCATAAGTAAGTACCATGTTGGTTTTTTATACGTATAAGCACCTCTAATTCTTACGTTATATTCATTTCATATATGAATTTAAATGAGTAGTCCAAGGTCACCTGTTAATAATTAGCTAAGGTAAACTTCCATCCCAAATCTCTTAGAATTCATTGTTCATATTCTTTTGAACACTCTGTGCATCCACTAACACAGTAACACTACTTTTTTTTTTTTAGAGCAGAGTATATTTATATATTTATTGAGGGAAAGAAAGCTTTTGTCTAAGAGAGAAACAGAAGGGGTCCCAACTGGGTTACCCAAGACTGTCTTTTCTAGGGACATTTATAGAACCATGAAGTGAGATAGCTCAAAGATGGGGAAAATTGGGAACTGGAAAAGAAGATGGGCATAGGATGGGACAGATCCATGGTCAATCAATAAATTAATTGTTCAGGAAAAATTGACCAAATCAGGGCCAAATTAGGAAGTAAATCATGTAGCAAGTGAGCATTCTTACAGAACAATGACTTTTTCTGTAGGGGGCTGGGATCCTGGTTCCCAGCTTTTCAAGGTGATCCATACCTATTTAGAATATCAATCCCCAGAACCTAAGAAGATAGCGGAACAATAAACAACAGAGTAAACAGCCTCTCTGAGAGAAACACCCCAGATGATAGAATACTGGAGGAGACATGAAGGAAGGAAGTGGTTCTCCTCAACTCAGGAAGAACGTAAAGTGAGAATTGAGGCCCATAGAGACAATTAAAAAAAAAAAGAAAGAAAGAAAGAAAGAAAGAAAGAAAGAAAGAAAAGCTTAAATAGAAGAAGCAGCTGGTAGCTGGTAGTGCTTTTACCCAGAGTCAGAACTGCCATGTGAGAAGAACTACTGAAACCTGGGGATGCATGGTAACAGTGAAACTGGTAGTTGACAAGCCCAAAGGCCTCTGCAGGGAGACAGTGGCAAATGGGAACCGTGGGGCAGGGAACTGCACTGGCTGGCAGTGAATGTGGGGGACTCAGTCTTCCTGTGGGAGTGGATGATTAGCCAGGGACCATTTTGGAGTTGGGCGGGATAAGCCCAGATCCAGAACTGAAGCCAGCTTCATTCAGCCACTCCTAGCTCAGAACAGACTGGTGGAAATTGCTTGGACTGAGTCCAACTCCTGTGCACAATGCAACAGCCATTACCAAGGTTTCTCTACAGTTGTCCTCAAACAGCTCCACCCTGCTGTATGCACTACATCTGCTGAGGATTCCCTGTGGTTAACCAGCTCAGGAGGGAGGTGTCAGCCTGCCCCACTCCTGCTCACACTCTATCAGCCATGGATAGCCATACACCAGTGCACACAATGGTCACCATCAGATATCCCTGGCCAGCATGAGCTAGAAAATGCAAACAGTCTCACTTCAGAGAAATTGTAGCCAATACAGGAAGTGCCAGGGACCCCACTAACCATTTATCTGGAAGAAACCAGGAACATGACAAGAGTAAGAAGCAAAAGGCAGTCTCTGGCCTTCAGCCCACACAATACTAGTCAAAGAGATATAAATGTGGAAGAGATTGGGTGTCACAAATCTGCAGTTTCTGAAGCAACAGCAACTGAAATAAGTAAATAAGTAAATAAATAACTTCAAGAGGCTATAAAAGAACTTTGAACAGAAATACTATCTCTTGTAAAAGAAGCAATGAGAAACATAATGAAAGAATTGCTAAGCGCTTCTAAAGAAGACACAAGCGGAACAATAGAGGAGCATAGAAAAGTGAGGGAAGCCTTCAATGAAGAATATAAAAACATTAGAATACATGAAACAGATTCAAAGAGATTACCAGGTAATTAAAAATTCCATTGAAAGCTGGTAAAACTGCTTGAAAGAAACCAAAGATAGACTATCAAATTTTGAATACAGGTTTGTAGCTTGTGATCATGAAAGGAAAGATCTCTTAAAAAAAAAAAAAAAAAAAAAAAAAAAAAAAAAAAGAACCAGGAAGTAACAATACAAAGGCTAGAAGATGACAAGAGGAAGGATAACTTACGAATAAAAAATGTGAGTGAAGATGCAGGGGTAAACACAAATGAAATCCAAAGGCAGTTTACAGAAACAAAGAAAACTTCCCAAACTTAGGAAAAGGAAATGATATTCAGATAAGTGAGGCATACAGCACTCCAATCAGTTATAACCAAAATAGATCTATACCCAGACATATAATAATCCAGATCCCAGAAGTTCAACACAAAAACGGAATACTAAAAGCTGTCAGAGAGAAAAAAAAAAAAAAAAAAAAAAAAAAAAAAAAAAAAACAGATCATCTGTAATAGAAAAACCATCAAAATCATGACAGACGTCTTGACACAAACCATCAAATCAAGAAGAGCTTGGTGTAAAGCATTCCAATTACTAAAAGAAAATAGTCTCTAACCCAAATTGATGTACCCTGCAAAACTATCTTTCAAAATCAATGGAGAAACAAGATGCTTCCATGACAAAGAGGAACTGGGGAAGTTCATCACTACCAAACCAACCCTACAAAAAATAATGACGGACAGGGCCATGTTGGGACTTAGGTGGCTGCACAAGAAGGCAATTTGCCCACTGGTAAGTGCCCCTGATTGAGAAGAGCACCAGTCAGCTGTTCCCATGAGGCTACTGGCCCATGGGCTGAGACTCAAACACCTGCCCTGGTCAGCAACTGGGGACAGAGTTCTGAGCATCTCTTGGGAGGATGACCATATGCAATATAGCACATATGGGAGATTTCCTGCTACATTCTGTTTGAAGGCACAGGTTATTTTCATGGTTATGTTTTGTAATGATTGTTTTGTTCTATTCAATATTCCCTTCAGTTGGTTTTACAATGTTCTGTTATTGGTTTGATTTTGCTATACCTAATTGACTGGACAACTATTTGAAGATAATGAGATATACTGTGGTAACTATTACTACTATCTTAGTATCCTGCTTTGAAGTTCTGTACCAGTGTAATTACATTGTCTTGATTGGCTTTGTTTTATCTTGTTCTGTTGTATTTTTACTACATTCTAAATAAAATTTAAAAGCAACAATAACAACAATAAACAATACTGAAGGACATTCTAGAAAGAGACACAAATGACCATAGTTTCAGTAACAGTGGCAGAGTAGGTTCACTGAATGGGTCAGGATTCAGAATTCCACTTGGTGTAAAGAGGAAAAGTAGACAATCAATGGCAGAACAATAGTATGGCAGAGATGAGGCAGAGAAGGTGGGCTATAATTACTAATATAGATGGCCTCAGTTCACCAGTGAAAAACACAGGCAGAGTGGATCAGAAGACAGGGTCCATCAAAATGCTTTACACACGAAATACATTTAACCTGAAAGGAGGTTTATAGACTAAAAATCAAAGACAAGAAAACAATGCTCTATGTGACAGGGAACCAGAAAAAGGGAGTAGGTTAGCTTGCCCATCAGCTGCAGATTGGTTAGAAAGCCATGATACATTTATACAATGGAAAACTACTCAGCTATAAAGAAAGAAAACCTTGAGACTTGTAGGTAAGTGGATACAACTTGAGATCATGCTCAGGGGTAACACGGTTCAAAATCACTTAGGTGAATAGCAGGTTTCCTCCCTAATATAAAAACTTAAGGAGTTAGTGAGATGTATAATGTAACCAAAATGTACAATACACCCTGTGAAAATGAAAGGGGAGGAACTGTCTAAAAAGGGAAGGCAGTGGCCAATGTTAATCTATTATCATGATTTGAAACCCATACTGTTTTCATTGTTCTGTGTAGTTTGGTTTTATTCTGTGTCAGTTTGTCTACTTATATTTAATGGCATGGACAGCAGTTCCAAAGATAGCAGGATATGTTATGGTAACCATTTTTTATTTCCTATTAGTTTGACTTGAAGCCCTGTATTCCTTTCACTGTTTTGTTTTGACTGATTTTATTCTTTCCGGTTTTTTTTTTTTTTTTGATAGTATCAAGTCTGATGGTATACACTACTACTTTGAAGAAAATAAGATACAGTATGATATTCATTCTGGTTTGACTATTATCTTCTTTTGAAATCCTATAATGCCTCCAATGTTTTGTTTTTATTGGTTTTGTTCTGTACTATTTTTTTCCATTTTATTATGCCTGATTATTTGGGCAATTCTTTTGAAAATAACAAGAGGCATTATGGTAGCCATTATTGATCTCCTTGTATTTTGTTTTTAAATCATGTACCATGTTCATCTTTTTGTTTTGATTGACTCTTTTGTTTTGTCTCACTTGGCTTTATTCTCTTCAAAATAAACAAAAAATAGAATATCAATCCCTAATGTTTATATGTAGGGTGTGATTGCCTTGAAATCTGGCCCACAGCAGGTGATACGTGTCTTTTCCAAGGGCACAAATTATCTGATCCTCTGTGCAGCCCCCTTTGAGGGCCTAGACCTGTCTGACCACCTATAATATTTCTAATTAACTCAGGTGCTTGTAATATTACACTGCTTGCTTTTGTAGAAGGCTTTATAGAGGCTTTGTTGATGGTTTTAGTTTTCTCCCCTCTTTAATACCACAGCAAGCATCTATGTATTCTTTTCCTGGAAATGTTGCCCACCATTAGTCATAAGATCTAATTTTCTGTATATCTTCAGCTATATGAATCTTCTTCAGGCCAGGTCTCCTGGTTTTCTGGTTTGTGGAACTTAACAAATGCAAGCTTCTTCACGACAGGGCCTAACTCTTTGTTCTTAGACTTCCTAGATTCTGGGACAGAACATAGCATATTCTAGGCAGTTACCAGATATCTTTTCAATTTGTGATTGACTTGAATCAAAATGAGTTGAATTGGAGCTACAATTATTAGACACACAAATCAACAAGATAAAGTAAATAAAAGATGCTGTTCTTAGTATCATAAAGTCCTAAATTACTTTACCCTATAATTTTGTCATTTTGTTGTCACAAGAGAAACCAGTTCTCTCATAAGATAATTGTGAAGATTAAAAAAAAAGAGGGGAAAAAATCTAGCACAGATCACGTTGATCAACAGGTTCTCAAATATGGCCCTGCTCCGATAAACTTCATGTCACTTTTGTAAATTGCGCAGGTAAAATCTCAGTGCTTTTCAGAAAATCTGTAAATCCAAAATACAGAAGAGGGTGCATGAAGCAGGAAGAACTGATCCATGGGAGGTTTACTTTCTCCTCTACCCATTGGCTCAGTCCTAATGATCTTGTCCTCCCCTCCAGCTTCTTAAAGCATCTTGTCTTCTCTTTTTTTTATGCCAAAACAGTCAAATTTTATTTTCCACCAAATAAAATTCACCTTAAGTTGATCTCCTTCGCGGTATCCTCCTTGGCTTGATCTTTTCCTAGGAACCATCATTTCTCTTCCAGTCAACTGTAGTAATCTTCGGGATTCCAAACGAAACAAAAAGCATAAAAAGTCATCAAGTTGTTCTTCTCAAAATGTTGTGAGTACATGCCATACAAATATAGTGGATTTTCTTGGATAGCACTAATTACAAAACTTTTCCTTATAATTAATAAGAATTAATTATCTGGGGAGAAAATATTATTTTCTGAATTTACTTGTATCCTAGGAAAAATATTCCTTTGTTGGATAATGCATCTCACTTTTTCATTTGAAGCATATGGTTATCAAATTTTTCAGCTATTTTGTGCTCTAGAAATAGGAAAGAAAGTTTCTGGCCTTCCCTTTTTCAAAATTATTTGCTCATATTCCAGATGTCTGGCTTTCGAGATCACCATAGCAAGTTCTAGAAACCCACAATGGTATAGATGGGAAACATTTTTCTTTAAATAGGCTTACATGGACTGGCCTTAAACCCAACAAATGACCTAGGAAAAAGGTATTCTGGACCCCACATCACTATGTAATAGACAAAGTTTTATCATATACCCATTTGTAAGTCGGTGGCTTCATTTATCAGGAAGAATATAGTAAATCAACAACTCAAGTTTAATGTTTGTGATACTAGAAAATTTAGAATTATGTCCTAATTGTTTAATTGATGAGCAGGAAAGGAATAGTTTATTTCCAATAGCACTCTTGAGTCATTTCTTGTTACTGTTTCAACAATCTGGCTCATAAAAAAAATATGGAAATTTTTTGTTTTCTGTTTGTTTTTCCGTCCCTTCACCGGAACTCAGTAAGATTTCATTCTAGGCCAGAGAATATTATTTGCTTCGCAGTAGGTGGTGATGGTAATAAAGCATTACTCATTGCTCTGTTTTATTTTTTTGAGACATAGAGCAAACCTGTGGTAAGTGATAGCTCTATTCTGACACTGCTGTATAAAACAAGCAAGCCAGACCCCTGGCCCCATCTTATTGTAGAAGCATGGGATATAAGGACAAGAGCAACACAAGACTATAAATTAGATGAGGGAATTTGTATTTCCTGAAAGTTTTCTCCATAATTCCTTCAAAATGTTTTTAAGCACTATATCCTGTTTTATAAACATGCTTTCAATTAAGGAGCTCTTTTTTATTACTTTGATAAATGGAGATACATTGTTAAACTATAGATCTCTTGTTATTTTTTTTAATTGTTAAAATTACCTTAACAAGTTATCTTTTCCTGAGAAATGATTAAAAGTTTTCACCAAAAGTGATGATTCACTACAAGCACCAAGAATATTGTTTTTGGTCTTTCCTAGATGAAGGAAAACAGAATTATGTTTTCTGAGCATATAAAGCAAGCTGATTAAGTTAAAGAAGTGCTTTGCATGTGGGAAAACCACATTTTTTTTTACCTGTAAAGAATTCCAACAAAAATCTCAATTTCGTAGATGAATTCATTGTGATCTGTCATCACATTGAGCTACCAGCAAGTCCTTGGAAGTATACTATAATTTATACTGTCTAAGCATGTAACCAAAATGATATTCTTAATTACTGTGAATAATCTAGAATCTTCAGGCTTTTACAAAATAACTAAAAAGTGAGTTAATAAATGAATATGTCTTTGAAACAGTGTATGATATACATTTTGATTTTCATTTCATTTTAATAGCAATCTAAATCTATTTTAAATAGTTGAATTTAAAACGTGGTGCTCATTCTTCTATTTTAACATATATTTGTAAATAAAATGAAAAAGGATAAAACAGAGGACCAGATTCAAACGTTAGAATTTATTGTCACTGAAGGATCAGTGTAACAGAGAATTTAGATTTCAGTTCT